CACAAAGCTACACGAGGGCTATATGCGCTAGCCGTCCCTAATTTAGCAGTGTAAGACTTGAGGGAAGGCATTTAGTCATCACCACCCACCATCAACTCTTGGGCTACTTTTTCACCAACGAATAGTGGGATTTACCGTCACATTATAACGCCCCCACTGCCGAAAGAGTGAGCATGTTTGGTGAGACGGAGATTCAAACTCTCAGATTGCGGGTCAAGCGCCCTAACGAAAAAAAAAAAACTTCGAAGACTTGAATCAAAGAACCATAACAAGTGAAATCGTAACACCACAAATCCTACACACCGTGAGCTGCAACCCGAGAAAGAGTGGCATTGTGTTGCAATGTCGTCGGTTCATATCTCGAATAGCTGTGAAACTTCAACCTGAGAAAGAGTGACATTGTGTCGCAATATCGTTGGTTGATATCTCTAATAGCTGTACTCGCGACCCGCAGATTGCGAGTCGAGCACTCTACCCACCTGGCCATGCCAGGCTGTACAAGAAAGGGTAAAAATAATTAATGAAAATACTTTCTTTGTATCATCAGAGATTTGCTGTAGAAAAATCTAATTTTGGAACTAAGTAGGATGACATAGAAATCAGACGTTATTTGTGTAGTCATTCCTTATGGGTCCACTTTTTAAGTACTTTGAATCAGCTAACCATTAATTAGGCGATTTACAAAATAGTTGAAAGAAAGTACAACTTTCTTAAAATACTAAACTTAGTTTATAGGACTTTTCCTTTCCTGGTGTTAATCGTACCTTAAAGCCCCAAATACAAACGTTACAATAGACATACTTATAAAGATGTAAATAGATATATTTCTTGCAAGGAAAGTCCTTTACTCATATAACGTTCTTTGATATCCTTTTCCATGTATACTAATTTGCAAAAATGAGGTTCAATAAAAAATATCAGTTGGTTTTGGGTTTATTGTTTAAAGGTAAACTATCAAACAAAATAATCGTATAAAAACCCTAAAATAAACGAAGTTGACTTCACTCACACATGTAAAGAGTTCATTTCTAACTTTATATGAAAGATGTGTATATGCAAATACTCTGGCATGTCGCCTCATGTGGGAGTTGTGGGTTCACAAGTGATAAATTATGACCTACCATTCGATAGTGCAATGATACCACTGCTTGATGTCTTATGTCACAGCCTTTCCAAATAATAATATTTATAGAGAGAGAGAGAGAGATGGTTAAACGATGTAGAGCCAAATGGCACAACATTTGAAAGAAAGGAGCTTTAAAGATTCTACACGAAGCGGAGAAACTCACACGAAAGAGCGCATAGAACGGCAACGGGCTTTCAAGATATACTACAATGTCTTCATCTGTAAAGTGAAGACTATGAGCTCTTTGACACAGAAAGTCATTGC